AACGTAATTTTGCATATCTGATATCGACCAGTCTGGCAGGCTCCCAAGAGTGGATACTACTACCTTCTCCGAGTTGAACCTCTCCCACTTCTTCCCATCAAAAGCCCGTACCAACGCGGGGATACCTGCAGAAAAGAAGCTTCACTCGGAATTGAACTCACGCCCTCAAGATGGATAACGATCCCTCATACCACTGCACCAACTACTCTACACACAACCACGTCTCACTCATTCGCGGGTTCGCGAAGTCGATAAAGGCATAACCAACATTGCACTTGTTTCGAAAATCCATAGGGAGGTAAAAGAAGTCATATTGACCGCATATGTTGGGTACCTAGTGAACCAGTCAAGGCAATCAACCTACAGTGAGAGCAGCTTAGCCGAGTACTTGCAACGATAACAAGACGAATCGGGAGTCCACTCCTCCCCTACTACCGAATCAAACAGCTTGAGCAGCATCTTCTGAGTGTACTTGTTGGGAATATTGCGTATCATACAAGTTGTTCGAGGGTCGGCTCCACTAACTACTCTATCTAGGTCGATTACAAACTGCGAGTTTGGAACCGCAGTGGTCTTTGGGTACCGACTGCTGCTCATCGATTCAGACGCACAAGCTGAAGAACAATTATAGAAAGCAGCAAGAGCCGTGCCATGATACTCACTAGTTTTATCCGGGAATGTACGATTCGCGATAGCTACGCCTTGTCCTACTGAAGAGACCACTCGTGGTTGCTGGTACCTTATTAGAGCCACCAGTCAGCACCACACCCCGCGCCACTACCTACCCCATCATAGCGGCCCGTTGTGCTCCAGAACAGGAACCTCCAGGATGATGGGCACTACCAATGTGATCTAATCGATGAGTGTTACAAGGCGACGCTCGCCTCCCCCTACTAGTACCTTTGCTGGACCCTGACAACGATCTGGGCCGTGCCCTAGGTGCTGAAGTAAACAGAGGTCTAGTGACAGTCCCTCCATTTCGAACCGGTAGTACCAAGTCCCATGGCTCGGCCGAGCTCCAGTCCCGAAGCGCCCAGAGTGGCATTTATCGACGCGCAAGCTCTCGAGTCGAAGAATTCAGCGACAAGAGAACAGTCCTGGAGAAACAAAATCTGCCAAGAACATCCAAATCTATTACTGATACCTGAAAACTCATTCGGCGGAGATCTCCAA